TGAATGAATGAATGAATCAATGAATGATTCAATCAATGAATTAATGAATGAATGAATCAATGAATGAATCAATGAATGAATCAATGAATGAATCAATGAATGGTTCAATAATTGGCTGAATGAATTAATGAATGAATGAATCAATGAATGAATGAATGAATGAATGAATCAATCAATGAATGAATGAATAAACCAATGAATGAATGAATGAATGAATGATTCAAAGAATGAATGAATGAATGAATGAATGAATGAATGAATGAATGAATGAATGAATGAATGAATGAATGAATGAATGAATGAATGAATGAATGAATGAATGAATGCATGAATGAATGATTGACTGAATGAATGAATGAATGAATGAATGAGTGAATAAATGAAAGAATGCATGAATGAATGAATGAATGAATGAATGAATGAATGAATGAATGAATGAATGAATGAATGAATGAATGAATGAATGAAATAATGCATGAATGAATGAATGAATGAATGAATGAATGAATGAAAGAATGCATGAATGACTGAATGAACGAATGAATGAATGATTCAATGAATGATTCAATGAATGAATGATTCAATGAATGATTCAATGAATCAACGCATGAATGACTTAATGCATGCGGGTGTATGCACGCATGTATGTATGGATGGAAGCTTGGTGCATTTGTGCATATCCATGCATGATTCCTGCATGCAGGCATGTATCGATACATCTCTACATCTCTACATCGCTACATACCTACTCCCATTGTCCGGGTTAGTGCTTATTTGAGAGGTGTTACTCCAGGGTGCTGTCAAACTGTTTGCACAAAACAAAAACACGTACGTGCACGACGTGCCGGGCGTGCAGCGATACGAGCTTGGACCGCGCGAAAATACTGTAATCAACCATTTGGGTTGATCCCAGGTCCAATTCTGGTTGACATATGCCCATACTGCCAGACTAACCTAGGTCCTCTAGTAGAGAAGATAGAATAAGGGTAACAACTTTTTCCGTAGTCTATTAGTAGGGGTACCCTCCCAAAAACAAGGGTAAAAGGGTACTACTGGGGACCTAGTAACTCTTTTGGGTGTGCAATTCTGGGCAGCTGGATGGCATTTGTGTGTGTCACCAAAACGCAGGGAGGAATCGAACATGCTCCGCGCTGCAGCTTCCAGCAAATAGCTCAAAGCCGAGTCCCTGCTCCCAATCGGGAAAACACCCAATAAGAGGGGGACATGAAGTTTCACGGTAATTAAGTGATTCCATTGCGGTATGTGATCTATGTTTGCTTGATGCTTCCTGCCTCTAGTAGGTCTTGTAAGGTCTTGTGTCTGATGGCGTCTGACCTAGTTGCCTACCAATTGTGGCAAATGGAATCACTGGGACACTAACAAGCGAAGAAAGCCGATGTCGGACACGTTTTCTTGTGTCTCCCGACTTAAAGGAAGTTCATCATGTTGCACCGCAACTCACAAGGCGATGCAAGGCGTGCGTCCTTGTCCGCAATTATGTTGTTGCTTGATTATTCACTACCATAAACATACATCTTGTTTTCCTATCCCCCCCCAAAGATTGGCGGTTTTGTTTGGTAATAGTCGCCTACGAAACTTCACTTCAGTGCACCCAGCAGGGGCACCCAACTCGAATTAATATAGCTGCCTCTTGCAACATGTTTGCCTGAGTCCTTCCCAAATGGGGGAGCCCACACATAGATGTTGCTTTGGTTGGCTTCCGTTGAAACGCCAACCAGAAAGGTGTTTCGAAGTATAGCGAAATATGGATGTGGCTCAAAGTATTAAAGGGCTAGGGTTACCTAGGTTGTAGTCTTTGGCTCCATTTAGCAAGGTGCCATTTGGGTACATTTTATTGAGCCACAGCCAAAAATACAAACTGGCTCCCCCAAGGTGACTGATGTCACTTTGATTCACTCGCAAAAGGGCCATGCCCAACTTGCCCTTTCTTGACTGCAAGGTGCCAACAAAAAAAAAGACCCGGCGTGTGTAAACAAAAGGGACCATTTAATGTTGACCCTATACAAATCAACCCCAGCTTATTAATAGGGGGTGTCCCTGCATTTAGTGGGGAATCACAAACAAACAAACAAACAAGCAAACAAGCAGAACATAACAGAACAGACCAGAACAAAACCATGCAACACCTGCAAACAAAAAAACACACGACAAAAACAAATACACACTAGCCCAAACGCAACGAAACAAATCTAAGCAAGACAAACCAAACTACCCAAACAAAGACAGCAAACACGACAAAGCAACACCAAACAAAAACAAAACAAAACCGTCAAACAAACAAAACAAACCACTACAAACACAAACAAAACACAACAACACAAACCCAAGCAAGCAAAACAAACAAACATAAGGCCAAACATACAAACAATCACACAAACATACAAACACACAAACAAACAAAGAACTACCAGGCAAACAAACAACACACAGCCAAGCTTTGAAACCGCCCTGCGATCGCCCGCACATCTGGGACCTTCAGCAGAAATCCAAAGCTTAGGTCTACTTCCAAGCGGTAGAAGACGAGCCAAAACACCGCGCTGCGGGGTGCGCGCATGGGATTCCCTGCAACGGACGCGGATTGCTCTGGACTTGGGACGATCGCGTAACCAGGTGTCTCCCTGGGTTGATAACTTCCGTGGATTTCGGGTCAGTCTAACCCAGGCAAGACTCCGGTGAATTCGAATTCCAGATGAATCAGGGCCCTGCTTGTTGTGTCTTACCCTGGCCACTTAGCTTGCATCGAGTCACCACTGGTGTGCTCAACTTTGCCTATCAGGAACCTGAATCTGCTACATGATAAGGATAAACCACGAAATTGTGGCATTAACAGCCTAAGATGTGTTGGTTAAACGGCTTTCAGGTGCTGGCTCATTTCTTTATGATGGGCTGCTTAATCCTGACGAGATCGCCGAAGAAGGCCCCCAACAGCATGATCACAAAGAAGGGCAGCGGCCTACCGAAAGTCGACAGCTCGGTGATGTGCGATATGCTAATCCCGTGGTTCATGATCGCATCAGGAAGCGTTTCAGTCAGTTGCCGAGGGACTGAAGCGTAACCACCACTTCTACCATGGATATACTAAGCATATTGCATAGTCCCCTGCAGAGATCACGTGCCGTGGCATCTTGCGAACATGGAACACCGATGTTCAGCATGGCCTGTTTCAAAATCCCCCTTCACTGACGGCCACTTCTCCGCCCGGCAAAACTTGCCGTGGATCCGACACCCAAGAAGCGACAACTGCTTGGGGTATGAACACCAAAAGGCCAAACTTTGGCCTGTTCGTGCTCCGAAAAGCAGCTCTGGCCTGGAAGAAACTCCTTGATTCTCAAAAGCTTGGGTATGTGTCAAGATAGGGGGAGTTTCGAAATAAGTTGTTCCTTTGGGTGGCCTTTAAACCCCACATGGACCCTATGGTACCCTCCAAGAAACGCACCCATGAGGCAACTTCTGACCTTTGCGGGCTCCTCCGGGTCCGATCGTCGCAGCCCATGCTGGTGATGAGGTCGCTGGCAAAAGTCAAAGGGCCTCGCGCAAAGGCGGGACGAATGGGCCAAGCAAATAAAGCCTACCTGGAGTCTCCGTGGCCCTTTAAAGATGGGGTGGTGACCCCATTATTTTGGGTAATGACCTCATTATTTTGGGTAATGACCCTATGTTTAAGGAGTCATGGAGACTCCAGGTACATTGAAGTAAGCAGCTCCCCACCGGCAAGTTAGGTCAACAAGGTCCAGTCTGGAGGCACCGGATTCCGACAAAACTCCAAAGTGATTGCTAGCCGACCTGCGGGGCTTCTGCAAAACCAGTTTCTTGGGGTAGAGTCCGCCAGGCTCCCCCAGTTCCATCGTGCTCTCTAAACTCAGGCCCAAGAGAAGCATCAAACCTCTTTCACGACGGCTTTCGCGGGGTCTCGGCATGCAATGTTTCTCGAGAGGTTTTGAGGCATGGCTTTCCCGCACTGAGAAATGGACTGGACTTCAAGTTTGTGCTTCGCGGTGACACGAAAACTGCATTTTGTGTGACAGGTGACTATTGCTGTTTGCTGTTTAGGTTGCCAGTGGGAGCATGTTCTGAAGATAGCGTGGTGAAGATGGCCCGGAACTTGAAAGCTCACAGCCGAGGTCTCTGAAGACCTATATGCGCTGAAAGCTTGCAAACATTGAACCAAGGAAACATCTCCCAGACCCTGAATGGCCATGGGGAAGAAAGGCCGTGGCTTGTTGTGGTCGTTGATTTGAAGGGAACCCCACACCAAGAAAAGGGAAACAGGGCACCACTGGGTGTCCGAGCTTAGATCCAAACAGGACCCGAGCGAGGTTCCCATATCTTAAACGTCGGCCAAGTAGATGCGGCAGGTTTTGGAGCGGCCTTCCAGCTCTGCAAAGACACAAAGACCGCTCGTATTTAAGATGAGGGCCATGTGACAAATGTGCCTCTCAACTCGGAAACCTCCTCCCTAAATTGCGAACTTCTGGTGTCCCTTTGCCCAAAAAATGGGCAGCCTCACAGAAAACAACCCACTGCTTTAAAGAATGGTGCGCCATGCCCCGTTCCAAGGCCCTTGGCGCCTTCCGAAGGCCCTTCATCCACGGGCTCCTGAGCCCCAAAGTCGCTCGGCTTGGGCGCTGGAGCGACGGGGGTAGCGGGCAACCAGGTGGTTCCTTGCGACGGAAAGAATGTTCGAAGGCTTGCGAAGTGTTCGAGGGCCTTGCGCCCTAGCATGCTGATCAGATTCCGGGCGGGAATCAAAGTGCTCTGCTTCTGCTTGGCCGGAAACTTGTGCGAAGGCACTAAGTTGCAACCCCTTCTTTCCACCCGCGACTTGTGGCGCCGCCCAGTTCGGCCAACTTTGGCATGGAGAAACCTGAACTTGGGGAACCGGACTTCGACACCTTTCCAGTGAGCCCTTCGTCTGTGGTTTCCACAGCCAACTGGGGAGGTGCTCCCCAACCGCCAAAACCACCAACACAAACATACACAAACCACCAAATTAAATGGAGGTGATTGCAAAAGCTGTCCTTTGTTCTGTGCCAGAACAACTTGTAACCAAGCAAATGGGCCTTGCACCACGCCTTGCACAACACTCGCTCCAGTTGTTTGGTATCAAGTCGCAAACTCCCTGCTGGATTTTGTTTAGGTCCCCCAAAAGGGTCAACAGTTTGCCGAATGTTGGCGCGGTTGGTCAAAAACACATTGTCGTTCTCGTCTGTTCAATGTTGCATAGTATCGAGGGCACCCTGAAACGGCTGCTATTTGCAAAAGGAACACCATGCCTTAAGCCTAAGCGCAGGTCTACGCGACGCACCCATCGTAGGTCTCACCTGTAAAGAGCGTGGCCACTTGAAGGTGACGGGCCAGAAACATTGTTGGATCTGAGGCAAAACGAAAACCCCTAGCTTGAAGTCATTTGCCTCTAGTTTTGTTTACTACTTGGGGAATGGATACCGGATACCTTCACAAAACATACTCACCTGTGCATCAACCCGATCGCCCGAAGCCGCCAGTCCCTCGGAGGCGCTCCTGCTTTGGAAGCGGCATGAACTGCCTGCGCCGCTGGAGGGGCGCACGATTTGAAGCGGACGCCTCCAGGGTTTGGATTCATTCGCTGAACACAACACTCGAAAGGGTGTTCGGCAACTTGGAGATTGAGGTAATCCCGAATCCCTGAATCCTAATTGGCCATGGGTCATAAACTATGCCTCCATGTTGGGGCAGATGAACACCCATGTACCACCTATTTTGATGTTCACCAGGGGTACCGAGGGGTTTTGACCCACAGCCAAGTCAGAATCTCAAGACTCCAGACCCCCTTTGGTAACCAACCCAAGGACTGTCGGGGTGCTGCAGCCAACAAAAATCCCGCGCCTCCACGCAGACCCTCGATTTGCTCGTTCAAAAACACACCCATGAACGAGGTCTCTTAAGAAGAACGGAATCCCCACTAGAGAGGCAACCCTTTCATGATAAGTGCGGGGGGGAGTTACTAATCAGGGAGCAACATTGGTGTGCTCGAACAAGTTTGTAATTCTCTCTATATCAATCAACACACAACTATGTCCAGTTGGGTGGGGAATGAACTATCCTCCGCACTCACAAGCACAACCAGGGCAGGCACACCACTCATGGCCCCGAATTCTCATCAGTCGTGGCTTGTCCGATCTTGAAGAACTTGAAAGAACCTCCAACAAATGCCTTATCCCATTGGGTAGCGGGTTCAAAGCGGCTTATTTCCACCCCAAACTGTATTTTCCCCGCTGGCTTCCTGTAAACACGCTAGCACCAAACAGGGTGAGATTCACAACACAAACCCATTTCGTGAAAGCTGGTTCTTGAGTTAGGGGAACCAGCTCGATCCTCGCACAAGGTGCACGGTGCAAAACCCGCCCCTGCCTCAGCAAGCTGTCGTAGTCGTTTGCTTTCCCTCCGGGCCAGTGGCGTGATTCAGCCAAATCATACATGCGAGCCTTGATAGGGAACAACTTGCGACACATCTCTCAAAGTGATTCCATTTACCACGGCTACCCCGGTTACGACATTTATTTTGTCTACCCCCTGTTTGGCACTATGCCAACTATATTTGTGTACCCCCTGTTTGGCACTATGCCAACTATATTTGTCTACCCCCTGTTTGGCACTATGCCAACTATGCCCTGGGCTTGCTTATGTCACTGGGAGGGGGGTCGGGCTTATTATGTTTTAGATTGCTGCGGGTTTATTACAGGCTGCCCCGCTTCCGCCCAAAGGGCAAAGCAAGCCGCACTTTTCGAAAAAGACATTTCCATCCCCCCAAAAAAAGCCCGGAAAGAATCGGAAAGACATCCATCCCCCCAAAAAGCCCGGAAAACGGTTCAAATGTGTGTCTCTTTGAAGACCCAAGGGGTTCGTTCATCTTTCTAACTGAACGTGTCTGGGCTTTTCAAGGTGCCATCCAAGAAGACGGTTTTTCCGGGTGGTGTCACCCTCAAACACAAAGGGCGTCCCTAGAAAGTTGACTGGCAACAAAGGGGAGCTGCAAACAGTGTTTTCTCTTTCTGGTCCTGGTGGTTTGCTCTGTTTGAATACCATGGTACAAGACCCCAGGCTTGTCGGGTCATTCATGCATGGACAAATAGATGGATCCCACTGAGTGCAACAATGAACCAAACTGTTGGCAGGTTTACCAGTCAAAAAATCCGGCAAAACAGAAAGGCAGCTACCGAAAGTGGAAACACCATTCAACATCTTTCAAGTTGAATTTGGTTACTCCAAACCAAAACGAACACCACAAAGTGGGAAAATAAATTGGACATTTCATAGTTTTGGTGTGTCTTTCTTTGGGGGACTTTCCAAAATGGTTCGGTCTTCCCTTTGGTTTCCTTGTAAAAACCAACAAAAAGGGTACCAAACCCAAAAAAACACATTTTCCCCGATTTTGGTGTGACCACGAGATCGCCTCGCGCCAGCGAGGCGATCTGCTCCCACTCGGGAGAGGTCCGCGTCACCAGGGGCGCAATCCTCGGAGACCCGCCGAAGAATTTCTGGAAGGACCATGAGGCAGTTAGATTCGGTTGCGGTTTGGCCCAGGTAAGGAGGTTCCCTTGTTTCCCGAACTCATTCAAGTAAAGATGGTTTCCCTCACACGTTCTCCACAGACCCTGGTAAATCAGCCAACCACAAAACCCCGGGAAATTCCAATAACCTTGAAGGGAAAACTACGGTAAGGGCAGAGATGGTTGGACTGGGGGCTGTGGGGAAAAATGAAAGCACGACGCATGTTGTGGCTCGTTTCTGAATGTGGGGAGAATTTAACCTAAACCAACCCTAAACCCACCATAATCCAGCCCTTAACCCTAAACCCTAGACCCAACCATAAACCCACCCGGAGTACGGCGCATGTGTTCGGAACAGAGCCACAACTAGTGTTCGATATGCCAACTCGGCCCCACCCATTCAAAGGGCTAGCGGCTAGAGGCACACTTACAAGTTTTGTGTGTCTCGATATGCACTAAAACATATTCAGCCATATACGTTGGTAAGCAACCGCTGTTTTCTGATTATGTGGCCAGTGTTGGCTATGAAGGGTTCGTTTCTTGAAGCATATGCTTGGATAGTAAATTATTGCCGTCTACATCCGGTTTTTAGATGGAAGGGGAATCAGTTTCTTTAAAAAAAACTGGGTGGGGCAAAATGTCTTTCAAGTTCGAGCAAACTTTACAGGGCTTTCCCCCTCTAAGATTGAAGATTGCAAACAAGTTGCTCAGAGATTCTTCAATATTGGCTATCCCCCAAAGCCCAATACTTGATGTGCTTCTTCTTGGATTTACGATTAAAGGTTTAATATGTCACAAACACGTTTTCAGAGGTGGTCCAATCCTGGCCAGCCCTTAACAACCGTTCAAGTTGCTTGAAATTGGTCCTGGATCGAATATTGACAAGTGAAAGTATCTGAAAAGTGTTCCATGGAATCGTCAATATTTACGCTTTACTGGGGAACACGATGTTCAGCTTTCAAGCTTTCAGACTTTAAAGTTCAGTCTTAGATCCAGGAAAAAACAACTTTCACGTGCTTTATTGTACAACTGCAAAGTGTTTTGGCGATCAAGGATCGTCTTGTGCGATTCGGGAAGTGCCGAAGTTTGGGCTCCCGTCGAGGGTGCCAAGGCTCCGATTCATGCTGGTCGAAACACTTCTTTGCCATTGGCTTGGCTCACTTCCTGCTTGAAGATTGACATGAAATTAGATATGGAGCTCGAACTTGTTGAACTTGAATATAATTGCAACGTCAAGTATCGAGTTCAATATGATTCCAATGATGCTTGTGCAAATGCGTCGCTTTAGTAGTGCTGTAGTGCTTGATTGGAATGTGAATCGACTTATATAATTACTGACAATCTGTGAAATGGCTTAAGCTTAAAACAGCAACTCCTTGCCAAAGTTGAAGATCGGCATTGCATTAGCTTCTTGATCAAGTCAAATTTGATAAGCACCAAATATATAACCTAGATAAACAAATCTTTCCAAATTTGGGTGTTGCATAGTTGATTAGACATAAAACAACATAATCAAGGGAACTGTAGCACTTGTGCATAATTGAATTGGAGTTCAAATTGAAATAGACAATTCAATAGACATGTTCTTTGTCCCAAATTTGATTTGGCATGGACATTGAACTGGGTGTCAATTTCAAACAATAATTTAAGTATGCACTCGTCTCAAAAGTTGATGTTAAACTTGATCTAGTTTTTTCAGCTTTCGTAGAATCATCAAAGCTAAGTACTCGTTTGACATTCATCTGGACCTACATTCACAAAGTATACGTTCATCTGTGTTTCTCCTGAGTTTGAATCGAAGTCGATGGTCTGGAGTATTTACTGTGAGACTGACCAACCGCGGGTTCTTTTGGCGCAGGTACACATGAACACTTTCAGGAGATCAGTTATGCCCACAGATGTGTCTTAGAGGTGCCGAGTGAGCTTGCAAAAACCGGGGCGGAACCGGAACCATTTTGAGCGGGATTTCGCGTCTGAGGCCGTGGCACCCAGGTGGGGCCCACACCGAAGTAGCCCAGCAGGCCCTCAGTCCCGACACCGAAAGGGAAACACCCTGGGTGCCAAATATACATATATACAAATATATGTATATATATATATGTATACATATATATATATATGTCGAATTTGGAACTGGCTGAATCCTCACTGTTGCCGCAAACCACCCAACCCCCGCAAAGCAACCCCCCCAAACCCCCCACGAAACCCCGGCCAACCACCCCCCCCTCCAACCCCAGCCCCCTCCAAACCCCCAGGAGCCCCCCAAACCCCTCAAACCCTCAAACGTCAGCTGTGAAGCGCACGCCGGCCAAGAAGCCCATGAGGATGAACCTTAGCTACGGCAAGGGCCGTCGCAAGATCGATTGGGAGACCAGGTTCAACCACAGGGGGCGTTCATGCCCCTCCAACAATTGAACCTGCTGGATCCCCCACTTGATTTCCCAGCTTGTCCAAACACTCTTCAAAACAATGTTCTTTCTCAAAGAACGAAGATAGCAGAGATGCGCCCAAACGCAACACGCGACGACGGAAAAACGCACGAATCCACCGACCACAATCTTCAGAACTCACATCTCATTTACTGCGAAGAGGCCGGAGACCTCTTCCTTTCCTACCTAATCCACAGACCCTCGCCAAACATCACCAAACATCACCAAACAGCGAGCCCGTCCTCGGCAGCTTCTCGAAGGGAGTACTGGTGTACAGCAGCTCCAGCCTGTTCGTGAGGGGAAAAAAAAAACGGGCCTGGGCTTTGGTGTCCCAAGCTGGAAAGGGTATCCTCACAAAGACACACACCGAAATGAGATGGCACTGATGTGCTTCTTTCCAAACTGAGAGTGGAATATCATGGTTTCCAAAAAGTAGAACTGGACAAAGCTTCTGCAAAACAAGTGCTTCCACTACCCTTCGCGCTTGCGCCCCCTTGCCATGGAACCCCAAATGGGTGCCGCCAAAAGGAGATTCCTCACCTCCGTAGAACCAAACTGAGCAAAACCGAGGGAATCCAAGGTCCACCAAACTCGAAAGTTGAGGGCATTGGACTGATCCATGGCCTCGCGGCCCGTGACCATCTGCTGGGAAGGCGAAGCCTCGCTATGTTTCTCTCAGAAAATATCTAACCGCAACCTGAAAGGCCATGAACTAACCTGCACCTGGACATGGCCCACAACTGGCAAATGTGTGTTCTTGCTGGGGCTGAAAAGCTTTGGCAGAACATTTCTATGGATCTCAATATCCGTGCAATGGTGGTTCAACACCTTCAGGGCGCATGTACTTGACCGGAGCGCCGATGCGCTGACTGCCGTGATTCCTTGATGGGAGAAATGGCGCTTGCAATGAACTTCATAAGCAAACCAGAGGAGCGCAAACTCACCGAAAGTGCTTGCAAACCGAGCTTGAAATCTGGCAACTTGTGGCCCACGCGGTGCAGCGGACGCCGAACCATCGCAGGTCGATCCCTGAATTTGGCTGAGCAGCCCATAACATTCCCTACCTCTGCTTCTTCCTCCAGTTCGAAAGAAAATGTTTGAGTCTGGTCCATGGTAGAAAACTTAGAAAAGAGGACTCCCTCTCATAGGAACTCCCGCAGCTTCCCCCAAGTCCAACCAATCCACCCCCCCCATTTCGCGAGCCTTGCCACATCCTCCTGTGTCCGCGGCAGATTGCCAGGACCCCATTGGGGTCCTGCAGAACCGACGGCTGGGAATCCGAAGTTCTGCCTGGTTGATCTGCGGCGGCTGCCCCTCAGTATGTTGAGTTTGAGCCACGTCCTCCACTTGACGAAAGATGACTGTGAATATTGATCATTGCACAAGTCGTTCCACAAACCCAAGCATGTTGCAGACAAAGGCCCCTCTGCCCGCCTGCCCATTTCCCTGACCTAGTTTCATGCAACATGAGTAGTCCATACCCTCAGACGCCACCCAAATCACAGCCACTTTAGTGGATGACAATTCTGGAAAGATGGCACAAAGATGCTGACAAGGAGAAACAGAATTGCATGCGTCCCCCGAGAAGGAAAACCAAAACAAAGCAGTTTTCCACCCAACCATGGCTTGGCGAGTCATTGCGATTTCGGAGCTAGCAAAAACCCGCTCCTACCATGGCGGGTGCCACGTGCTTCACGCGGCCGGCGTCATCGACGACCTCAAAATTGGAGGCAACTCTGAGCAAAATGCGGCAAGTCCTGCACGTTACCCTCTCAACAATGTGGTTTGAAGGGAAACCAACGGACCCAGGGAGAAATTCAAAAATAAAAATGTAACCACAATGAGAAAGAAGTCAAGACCGCAGGTGTAAGGGGTATAGACCACAGGAAATTCTAGACACACCCAAAAAAGTGTGCTTGATTTATGGCCCATGCTTAGTCAACATTGCAAAGTAAAATAAATTGAAAATAGATCCGCAAACTTGTGTGAGGACCCATCATCTGCACAAAAGGGACTTCAGTCATTGCCCTTAAGTGCAGTTGCGGAACTATCTTCAGGCCATTTGGTATGCTACATGGGTTTCGGATTCTGATCTTCTTTTCCCTTTTGTGGAGGGCACTTCTTGAGAAACCATCTCACAAAACTGACGCAATCACCGGACAACACAAACCCATGGCCTCCCTCTCCAGTGGTTCCAGCGACCACTCCCAGTAAGTAACTAGACAATGTTGCTATGTGTATCAGTTTCCATTTGCACCTGGTTTTTGTCTGCTGCTTTCCTGCCCGACAACCCAAATCATGAGGCACAATTCGAATCGATCTATTTCCTACATGCCTTGAGTATTGCCAATAGATATCCGGCTGTTGCAACAAATAGAAGAAACATGAGGGAACTACAAAAATCGCACACGAACTCGGGCAACGGATTCGATTGGTGTCCCTGACATCGATCGAATTTAACCGGGGCATCCATCACTGGCTCTGGGGCAGCGGCTACTGAGCTCACACCCTCCTGGAGCTCCTGTGCCCGCCGGCGGCAGCTCATAAGGCTCAACCACAAAGGGCCCCAGCTCATAAGGCTCATAAGGCTCATAAGGATCTGCGAAAGGGTTTGAAACAGAGTTTCGGGATGGATAAAACAGGCCCTAACCCACCAACAAGAAGAGACCACCTTATCCCCCCGGTCCCAAGGGCAAAGCAGTTGCCCCCGGCCGGCACTAACACGAACCAAAAGGGGTGCCTCGTTGTGACAAGAAGGAACCAAGCAGAAGCGCAGCACAGCGCAAAGCAGGCAAGCAAACCAGCAGCAAGCAGCACCAAGCGAGCAAAGCGAGCAATAGCAGCGCACCCCAAACAATAGCCCGACCCACCTCCAGGAGAAAGAACACCGCCCCAGACACGACGGCCGCGATGCCACGCGGCCGGCGTGCGGATGCGCCGCGGACTTTTCCCGACGAAATGGCGGACGATGTTTGCCGGATGTAAAAGCTTGAGCCAATACCGCGTTGGGTAATGGCGTACTACAAACTGCTATGATAAAAGTACATGCCCCCAAAAACACCCCCCTCGCCTGTACAAAGAGAAGGAGTGAATTTGGAAGGGCGCATTGGCCATGTTGAAGTTGAAATGCAACAAACAAGACAAACAAAGCCGATTAGGCTACCAGGGTTCGCGACCCCATACCCGGGCTCGCATTGAAGCCCGGATCCCGCCACCACCCCGAATTACGGGTATGGGGCGGATTCTCGCCGGTAGCCAAATCAAACAAGAGAAAGCAACAAAGAAAAGAACAAAGGATCAACTTCTGAATGGCCGGCATGAAGCCAAAGAATTGTCATTTGCATTGCAACCACATTGAATCATTTGATTCAAGTGGATTTAATTTTTAATTATTAGATTAGGCGCATTGGCCAGTCGGTTGAAACATGGTGCATAGACCAATGAGCCTTGGTTATAAATTAGCACCGTCTAGGCGCGCGATCATTCGAGGACAATCGCCACGGACACCACCAGACACATAGACAGACTTCGGGTATTACCGATGTCGTCCGCCACCGCGCCGTCCCTTCCCCTTGCTGACATTCCAGTCCCCAGGGGGAGGAGGCACTGTCTCGGCCAACTCGTCACCGTCACCCCATGTAGGGGTATGCGGCGAGCTCGGATTCTCGAACTCGCGGGGATCACCCTGCATATGCGGCTGCCAACCCTGCGGCATTGCGCCAGGCCACATTTGTGGCATCATGCCAGCCATGGGCTGTTGCATGTATCCTCCCATTGGGAAAGTGGGATACATCGGGTAAGGGGCAGCCTGTGCACCCTTGTATCCCGACCCGCGAGCATCAGGCTGATACCCGCCAGTGGGAGTTCTCGATCTGGCGGATCCGCCGCGACCGAACTGCCCTTGTTGGTAGCCGTATTGGCCACCCTTGCCTTTGTACTGATCACCCTTGTGACCCTTTCCTGGAAACTGGTCACCCTTGTGACCTCCACCCTTGGGCCAGGATTGCGCAGGGGCCTTGCCCTTTTGCTGATCCCCCTTTGACCTGGATTCAGGTCGCGGGGTCGCAGACCGATGATCTCCCCTGGGAGTGGCTGCCCGCCTGTGGTGCTTCCCAGTCGGCGGGTCAGCAAAAACAAGCGATCCGCGGTCTAGGTCCGAGTAGGACACCACCGGCAGCGGTGCGGGGCATCCGTGATCCTCACCCCGGCACCTTGATGAGCACCATCACCAGCAGCAGCAGCGGTGCAGGAGGATGCAGATCACCAGCGGCCATAGACGCCGCCGAGAGTGACTGCCTTGCTGTGGCGACGCACACCTGACAGGTAATCGCAGCTTGCGCGAATAGCGCACAGCTACGCATGCAGTTGAATTCTGAAATGACGAATAGCCCAGACAACGAAATACGACAAGGAGCATAGTCCATCTTGCAAATTCCGAAATGAAAACATGCGCGCGTTGGCGCAGCCATGCAAAATGGCGCATTGGCCGTCCCGCTGTGCAGCGGGGACCATGTCAACCTTGTTGTCTTCGACATAAATGTATGCCTCAGCATACTCAATCGGGGCCGTGATGGATCCACCACTGGCCCGCAGAGAGTCGATACTCAAATCAAGAACAGTGGAGGCATCAAAACTTGGGTCCTCACTATTGAAGTCCGCGAGGCGTCGCTCAGCCTGCACCAATGACATTATGATGTCCGCGCGTGAGGCGCCTAGGCCATACAGCGGAACCAAATAGCCGTCCTCAATTCCGATGCGGTAGGCATCGTAAATATGCACAGAGAGGTAAAGGGCAAATGCTGAATTTAGACTGCCCTTTCTCGTCATATGACGACCCCATTGCGCCGCCTGTTGCGGGTGCTCGATCAAATATGTCATGACAGACATATTGTCGGGAATTGGGACGCCAGTATTGCTCTCCTCGATGAGCAGCTGTTTCGCTACCCACCGCTCGAGAGCCTCATCACTCGCACGCACACAAGCGTGAGTGTCCTTTGAGGTGACCTTTGCAACCTCCTGAAACGCAACTTGCACGATATCCGCATTGGGATTGTGCACAAGGTGCGGCGCACAGCGCAAACCGGAGATCATACAGCTGACCACCTCGCGGATCGGGTTTACCGACGCCATGAGAGGAGCCCACACGTCAGTCTCCCCTTCATACCAGCTGCTGGCACGGACTGCCTTGAGTCCGTCCAACCAGACTGGCTGCCCTCTCCTAACTTGGGAGCGGATGGTGCCTGGCACCCACTCTCGATAGAAAATCGGCAAATGGCAACCATTGCATAGAATGGTGCCATACATATTCAAATGCGCGCACCGAGGGCACCAGTAGTCATGCATGGGAGCTTTGTCCCATGAAAATGAAACCCCTCTCCGCGCTCCCTGGACATTCACCCCTCGAACCGCCCAGGGACGGATGTATATCACATCCCCTTCCTGGTGCAGATAGCATGCGCGCCAGAAGGGCGCATGTATCTCCTCTCGCACAGCAATCAAACCGCGTCGGGTTTTATAGATGCCGGCGGCTTCCTCGATGGCCATCCACTTCAGGTCAACGGCCACAACGACATGGCGCTTGTCCATGTATTTGACGCGGTCGTCAACATAAAATTCGCCCTCATTATTGGGGCTTGGCAACTTGAGGAGAGGCACCTTTGCGCCCTCCAACCCAATCGTGATCTCCCCCCTGCAGACCTGCTCAGGTCGCATGGGGAAAACTGTGATGGCGAATTTGCCGGGCCTCCGGATGCACCTCGTTTTGAGGGCGGACCGATACTCGGCCATCGTCAGCAGCACGTATCCCGTATAAGGGACCTCCGCTGCTCCCATCGGCCTAAGCAAAGGCCCCATAGGCGTTCGGTCACGCAGTGCCCAACGCTTAAAAACTTTGAACGGCACGTCCCTCCCGATTAGGGTGGAACGCGCAAAAAGCACCTCATTCGGGCGCACAGTCGTGCCATCTCCCCTCCAGACTGTCCGTATTAGGAGCTCGACTGGAGGGTACGCTGGGTTCTCCTTCGCAAGAGAACCCGCCCAGGTCGCCACCTCGACGCTCGTGCACTTATGGATCCCGTATAGGGCCTCAAAAAGCGTTGAGATTAGAGTCATTGACATCCAACCTCCCAGAATGTCTGGAACCGTCCCACACAAGAAGGGAGCCGGCTCGCCGGGCTTCACGTTCAACCGCGTTGGGTCAGCGTTGCCCGACAAAATTTCTAGCAGCATTTGCGACTCTCTGGAGCTTCGTCCAATCATCGCCGACACATCCTTAATTTCGGGAAAAAAATGGAAGATGTCGTTACCGGCAGGACAGGCGATTCTGCCTGCTGTCCCGCTCTGTGCATCAAACACAACCTCTTCACCCTCGTATGTGAGGTTGTAGGTGCTCGCAATCGGGCACACATCGGGCTTTGCCATCAGTGCCTCCTCTAGCGATGCACCAGCAGGGAGGACGCCCTGAACGTGCGCTTTGGTACCTATGGGACCAGTCCCCGCCGACATAAGCCGATAATTTTCGGCACGAAAGTACGGAAAAAGGTTCTTCATCCTCTCAATTTCCTCTTCAGTGGTACGCCACGCCTTTGCCTCATAGTAAGGCGGCTCCTGCTTCGAGGGCACTAGGTCGCGGTCGCCCATTGATGAGAACTTGTCCACATATGGGCCCATCCCATCATCATCTACGTGACTCTCGTGATCCTCATCCGAGACGTACTCCCTGGGCGGCTCGCCCAGAGCGTCCAGATCGACCTTACCAAGGTCAACCAACGCCGGAGAATCCAGGATTCTCTGGATCCTCATGAGCTCGTTTCTGAACTGCTCAAAGCCTCCGGCCTTCTCAGTTACGGAGGTCGGCATTACGCCCTCCCACGATTCCGGAAACATGCACACATTCGTAGGGGAATACTCGTCATCGGAAATATCCCGATCACGCTCCCGTACATCGCTGATCAGTGTCACATCCAACAAGCCGCTTAGGGCCTCAGGACGCGACGCTTTCGCCGGATGCGGCTTTGCGCTCTTTGACACTACAGCAGCCTCTTTGGCCGCTCTGTTCTTCTTCTCATCGCCCTTACTCCCCTCTTTATCCACATCCATTGCGGACTGCTGTGCACTCCCCCCCGCCCCGCCCATTGGCGGTTCAGAAGATTGGGCAGGGGATTCCTTTGTGCGGGCTTTGCCGAAATAATGCCCTGGGATCTGCACGCTCCCAGTGGAGCCACCGCCAGTCTCTCTTGGACGCTTGGCGGTGTGAGCCGACCCAGTATGTACAGCAGGAGCCGATCGCCTAGGAAGGCCCTTACTGACCGACAGAGATGGAGGAGGTGGCTTCACCTTGGGAGCCGGCTCCGCCTTGGGCGCCGGTTCCGGGTCAATTACGCAGGACCTGAGGTCGAAACTTTCCGACCTCAAAAGGCCCGCGCAATAGGAACGGAAGACGTCCTCAACCTCCCGAGCAAGGAACTCGGGATGGTCCTCCTCCCTCGGAGGAGTTCTCCAGTCGTCATATCCATCGAGCAG